GCCCAGGAAGAAGGGAGGGGTGGGGTAACATATGCAAGCCCTGCTCTGCGTGTGTCTGTGTCCTCTGTGTGTTTGATTAGTGTGAAAGTACATTATTATTTTTTCCCCAAAGTTGAGTCTGTTTTGCCCAGGACCTTAATCAGTGAAAAACCCTCCTTGTCCTTTGTCTCAACCCATGAGCTTTGTCCTCCTCATCCCAGTGTGAGGGGGAGGGGTTGAGTGAGTGGCCATGGGGATGTTCCTTTGTTGTCATGTTAGGCCCAAACCACGACAAGTGCCTACCTGCAATTCCACACAACTATGCCCTTACCTTGCAGTCAGCGGCAGAGACATGAGAATGCTTTCAATTCTTGATCCTGGTGTCAGGAGGCCAAATTTTGTACCTCTGTCATAAACCAAGTTGAACTCTACATACCTATGGGGAGTGGAGAGATGAAACAGAAAACCAAGTTTATTATCAGAAGTTGTTTGTGGCTTCTTCAGTTAGCAGACATCAGACAAAACAGCCTGTGCTTCTGCTGTGTTGGGTCTCAGAACAAACTCTGGTCTGGGGCCAACTGTTCTCTAGCATCCTCTGCATAGGAATGCAGGTGTGACCTTCCCACTCTGCAAAGCACCAGAAGTAATGACCTTCTCTAACAGACTATGGCAGACAAACTAAATTACTCAAGGAAAGCATTCTGTTACTGAATAGGAAGCGTGACTCCCTCACCCTTACACTTGTCATGTCACAGGGCAGTCCTATCACTGGGCTACAGGAGAGGGCAGGATTCAGGACATCAAGCACACACACAGCTCCTTGCCTGTTGCAAAGCAGCAGCTTCTCTTGGGTTTTGAAGGAGATAAGAGAGAAACTGTGGCGTTTTTATGAGAGCTGCTTGTGCTGTAACATGGGGGTGTGGGGCCATGGATGAGGGTGTGCTAGTATCTTCTTTGCACCCTTCCCAGCAATCCAGCATTGAACTTCAAAAATAGTTCTGTGCACAGAAATGCTGAAGTTCTCTGGCAAGCTTTAGAGCACTCATGCAAACTTAGCCCACCCTACAACAGGACGGAAATCCTGCAACCATGAAGAACTAGCTGTTTTTTTCTTGCCAGCACAGTCCACCTCCTATGTATTCTTTTGCTCCTTCAGTACTCACCGTCCTCTCCGAAGCTGCTGCCATAGCTTTTCCTCTGGTGTGAAGGAGTCATGGCAGTGCCTTTTCACAATGGGAACGTAACAAGGCACAACAGCTTTGGCACAACTCTTCACAAACTGGAATACCTCCTCCTTGGAGGGAGAGTCCACGTCGTCAAAAAATATGCCTCCAATCCCTCTTCGCTCACCACGGTGCTTGATATAGAAGTAGTCATCGCACCTAGAAGAGGTAGCAGACAATTATTAATACAGTCCACAGCACTCAGAGAAATTAGCAGAACTCCAGTTATGTTGGGGCAATCCCAAGCACAGATACAGGCTGGTTGAAGAACGGACCAAGAACAGCCTCGAGGAGAAGGACCTGGGACTGCTGGTCAATGAAAATCTCAATATGAGCTGGAAAAGTGAACTTGCAGCCCAGAAAGCCAACCACATCCTGGGCTGCATCAAAAGCAGCGTGGCCAGCAGGGACAGGGAGGTGATTCTCCCCCTCTGCTCTGCTCTCATTAGAGGTACTCATCTGTAGTACTGTGTCCACTTCTGGAGCCCCCAATACAGAAAGGACATAGAGCTCTTGGAGTGAGTCCAGAGAAGGGCCACAAAGACGATGGGAAGGCAGAAGCATCTCTGCTATGAATACAGGCTGAGAGAGTTGGGGCTGTTCAGCCTGGCCCTAGCTCTAGGAAGACCTTATAGCAGCCTTCTAGTACCCAAAGGGGGACTACAGGAAAGTCGAGGAGGGACTTTTCAGCAAGGCCTGTAGTGATAGGGCAAAGGGTAATGATTTTAAGCTGTAAGAGGAGAGATTTAGGTTAGACATCAGGAAGAAATTCTTTAGTGTGAGGGTGGCGAGACTCTGGCACAGGTTGCCTGGGGAAGTTATGGATGTTGGGGCTCTGAGCAACCTGGTCTAGTGACAGGTGTCCCTGCCCATGGCAGCAGGATTAGAACTAGATGATCTTTAAGGTCCCTTACAACCCAAACCATGCTATGATTCTACAATTCCGTGACACATGGCACAGGACAGCACTAGTGAAATCCAGATGAGAAGTCGGTTCCTGCAGTGCTGCACACCGTTTCATTGACTGCTGACAGCCAGGATGGTACAGCACCATCTGGAAACCATTCCTGCGTTCACTTGCAGTAAAAGCTCTGATTAAATGGTCTCTGAAAGCTGAATGTCACCACGCAGTCACTGAACATGTAATACTGATTCCATGGCAGATGTTTCCATGTGGAGTGATCCAATTCATATCCTCTACTTTAGAAGAGGAGGGACACCTGATTTCAAAACTTCAGCCTAAGAACTGTCTAGATTTCACTCCCAGAATTACACATAGATCCCAAATTATTTGTACAGCTTTCAGATGAACTCAAAATAAACTTGGAAGACCATTTCTGTATTCTTTTTGTCATTCTAGTGAAATAATTGGTTTTCTGCATCAAAACTAGAAGAAATTACCAATCCAAGAGAAGACAAGAAAGCCATGGTCACCTAAGGAAAAATGAAAAGGGAGACAGCCTTCCTTCAAAAAAGGCTTTTGACTAAGTAAACCTGGAAGGTGGAGTCATTCTAGCAGTGGCTTTTCATGGCTCACTTTCAGGTTTATGAAGGAGTAGGTGTAGCTTATCCTAAAATAGGGAGGCAATTAAATCTCTTGTGTGTTTACTGGGAGTATGTAGGTGTGCAATTGCTATAAAAATCAGCTGATGCATCATATCCACACCCTGTCTTGCTTTCATAGCTGCTTGCTTGGGCAGCCACGCTCTGCACGTCTTCACATGCGGGAGAAATGGAAGGGAGGTAGGAAGCAGAAACCATCAATTGCAAGGAAACCCTGCCTTCCTTAAGGACTAGTTTTTGATACATGTATCCAACCACAGTTGCATGGCCACAGCAGAAAAGACGTGGAGAAGTAACAGATAACCTAAGCTATTTTTTTTTATTCACTAGGATGATCTGGTTGGGGTTTTTTTAATAGCCGCTGGGAGTTAGGAAAAAGGCTGAGTAAGAAATGCAAAACAGAACAAGCCTGACTAAAGTCTTCAAGTAGATCAGAGACAGTGTGGTAAACATAAGAGATGTTCTGTTTGAGAAAGGTGGGAAGAAGGGTAACACTAGTTAGTAAAGCTTGGAGATTCACACTGCTAAATCTATGAGCATAGCCGCTGCTCACAGCAAACACTCATACTGGGACTGAGAAAACTGCCTTTGTCCAAGCAATAATTTGTCCAATTAGTCCTCCCCTGAACTGCCTTCAAACTAAGGCTTCCTCCTCTCCAACCCCCTGCAGCTGACATTACCATCCTACTTGCATTGCAAACATCGTGACCATTAAGGCACACACTCTGAACTACCATGCAAGAATTCCTCAGTGAACAAGACTGGAGTCTTAAGATTGCAAAACGTGCTTCTCTGCTAAGTGGTTCACCCCACAGCTACAACACCTGCTTTATCTTTTCTCCTCAGACAAGACGTGGTAGCTTACAAAAGGGAAACCCCACCTTCCTGGGTGCCACAGCTTGTAGCAGATAGGGTTATCAGACACAGAGCAGCGAGTTCCCTCTGAACAGTGAAGGATCCCATCACCTGTATCTCTCAGCTCAAGAACATTCAGAGTTTGCACATGAAAAGAATAAGCTTTTGAAGTCTCAGTAAATGTGTCACTGGAAACAAAAGTACAGCTCCATCAAAAGTATGAAGCTTCTACATGAAGGACAAGGTCCTTTGTCTACCTGGCAAAAAGAAAATAAAGGCAGTGAAGGTCAGACTGGAAAGAGAAAAACTGGAATGGGATTTTCAGAACTGCAGTGCTAGTACAAGAGCTCACACTAAAGTAATTTACCATGAGTTCACTGAAAGATGAATTAGTGCAAGTCTATTGGGCCAAAGTCTTGTCCTAGCTTACCAGAGGCTAAAAGGAATTTTTAAGTTGCCTAGTGAAGCCTGTGGCGTATAAAGCCTTGCAGAGTCAGTTCAGTTTTTATTCAGGCTATAGACTTATGATCCTAGTTGTCAGTCCTCTTATTTTAAAAACTCCAACCTCTGTAAGTAAGAGATTGCTTTAAAACTCCACTTTGTCTCAGTGCACATCTGCTGATTTTCATTAGGATATGCTGATACTTTTCAAAAGGCAGCAGGACCTACTGTTCCTAGAGTACACTCAACTGGCAATTTCCATGTCATCTTTTGCTACCATGAAAAGAACCCAAGTGTATCTGACCCACATACCATTTCTTATACTTGGGATACAGCTTCAGATCATGCTTGTCACAGGCTTCTTTCAGAGTCTTGTGAAAATGAACAGCATCCTCCTCATTCAAGTAAGTTGGAGTGAGGTCAGTGCCACCACCAAACCACCACTGTTTATTTCCTATAGGAGAGAGGCAAGCAGCAACATTTTTCTTTTAAAGTTCCAAACAGAAATACACTGCTGGTAGTTCACCAAGGACTGACAACTACTTCTACAATACAAAACCATTATTCAGTGGTGTTCCTAAATATCAAGCACGAAAAGTTTCAGTGACTTCAGGAAAACATGAAACAACTTTCAAAGCAGTGAAAACTATTTGTTCAATATTTTGGACCACTGACCCTGACTACAGGGTATCTGTTTTAAAGACAGGCAACTCCTGTTCAAGAATACAGAAACATTTTACTGCATGCCAAAGAAAGGGTACATTATTATTAAATCCAGGGAAGTAATTGACTAGATATTATCTAAAATACTCTGGGAAAATAACTGAAAGAAAACTCTCTTTGAGCTTCTGACAGTACATACCCTGTCACAAAGGACAGACGAGCTTTCTGACAGTGCACCCTCCCAGCTTCTGAGACAAAGGGACATTCCAACCGCAATGCTTATCAGTCCTTCGCACACCTTTCTTCTCCTAAGTTCTAGAATTGATTCTTTGAATGTGTTTTACATATATTTATAACCTCCTACATTTTACCTGAAATTACCCCTGGCATAGGCTGCAAAAAGTAAACTGCAAACACCTTTACTGTACCAGAAGCACACATCATGCTGGTTTTACAGATGCACAAACGAAGGCCCAGAGATTAAGCAACCCACTGGTGCACAGACTCTTGGCACAGCTGGGAACAAAAGCTCTCCCCCTAGCCTTATGTTCATGCTTCCTTCATACAGAGTCATATGTTTCGTAAGTACTTTACTGGATTATAGTTCTTACCATCTGCTTCCTCAATTTCAAAGTATCTGTAGTTGAAGTGCATGGTTGGAACATGAGGGTTCTTTGGATGGATAACGGAGCTCACACCCATGGCACAAAAAGGCAGCTTCCCTAGACAGAAAGATGCATAGAAAAAAAAAACCCTTCCTTTCTTCAAATAACTTCATTTATAATAATTTAAGGAACATCACTATTTATCATTAAGTTAAAAGCTGCTCTTCCACTACACGAAAACTTCTCATCATTATGAATCAGTGTGCAAATTACTCCTCATTCACACATTCCTGTGCACCTAAGTAAATGCTTTTTTCTCCTCTTTGTCCTAGAACGCAAAAATACGTTGGACCACCTATGAGATGAAGATTGCTTAAAACATAAAGCACTGCTGAGCCTTTCGACCACCCCCAGACCCACAATTACCCTTTGTGACATGAACGTGGGTTGGATCACCTTTAGCCTTCTTCAGGTCTTTCTGGTTTTCTCCCGTCACTTACTTGCAACATAACTCGTGTGCTGTTCCACTGCTGAGCTACAGCAGCGTTGGGGAACGGCCCCTGCCCACAGCACACTGCCAGAAGCAGCAAGACAGAGGGCGAAGCACCCAGGTTTTCAGGGATACGGAGCTCCACCCGCCAGGCTTACTGGTTAGAAACCACCCTGAGACACCAGAAACCCTCCCTGCAGCGTTGGTCAGCCCGGCCCGGCCTTCCTCACGTTCTGCTCACAGGCCAGACCGGTTTCAGAGCCACACGGGGCAACACTCGGCTGGAGACACCTCCCGGTCCCGGTCCCGGTCCCGACCCGACCTCCCCGCCGGACCCCTCACCAGACCCCTCACCGTCTTTGGCCTTCAGAGACTTCCCCCTGCTCCGCATCTGCCGCGCCGCCTCCTCGGACA